CAGAAACCTATCACCATGCTAATGACGAACTGTAGCTTTTCAAGTTTACTGTCATCATCCTCTCCTCCATCTCCACTTGGAATTTGAAGTGCTTCTTCATTGTCTTGGCAACCAATTGGTAATGGACACCCGCTAAGACCTGCATTGCCCTCATAAATTGACGGGTCAACAAAGGTCTGAAACTGGTTACCTGTTGGAATTTTCCAGGACAAGTTATTGTATGACAAGTTCAGATGACTCAGAAATGTTAAAGAAACCATGCTCTGTGGAATTGAACCTAAAAGTTTGTTCATTGATAGATCAAGAGTTTCTAACAAACCCAAGTTTCCGATATTTGCTGGGATATTTCCTATCAAATGATTCATGGACAAATTTAAGGTGCCCAACTTTATTAGGCTTGTTATCCTCATAGGTATCTCTCCTGACAAGTTATTGTCCGAGAGATCAATGCTATTAACAAGGTAAAGGATGGAGTCATATTCAAGCACTCTTCCTTTTGACACCACCTCCAATCTTCCCTCGTGCCCATAAACTTTTGTATCTTTGTCTGTGAATTCAGATTTCAAGCCACTCAAATTACCTATGCAGTGGGGAATATTTCCGAAAAGATTATTGTGTGAGAAGTCCAATATATGGAGAGTGGAAAGGCCACATAATTGTATAGGGATGCTTCCAGTAAATGAGTTGGACCTCAAGCTTAAAATCTTTAAAGAGAGCATGCTTTCACCAATGAAAGATGGAATCAGGCCAGAAAACTTGTTATCACCAAGGTCAAGAATCTTCATGTCAGTGCAGTTTTTCAAGGAAGGAACTTCACCTGAAAAGTTGTTACTAGAGAGGAACAAGACTCTGAGTGAAGTAAGAGAGCCTAAGGATCTTGGGTTTGTACTAGAGAGATTGTTGTTTGACATGTCTACAATGTACAACGATGCTATATTGTTCCAAAAATGAGGAATGCTTCCACTCAAAGAGTTCCTAGAAATGTCCAGATGTGTCAAATTGGGCATCACTTGACCAATGTTATGAGGAATTGGCCCTGAAAATAGATTGTCTCTAAGAAATAGCATGGTAATGTTTGAGGACCAGAGTGGGAGTGGGCCCTCATAGCGGTTTGAACTCAAATCAACAACTGAAGAAAAGTTAAATCTTAATGAATTGGGTACCATGCCGCTTAGTTGATTATAAGAGACATCTAGATAATCTAATTGCAAATCCAACTGCCAAAACCAATCTAGTATGGTGTCTGAAAGCCTAGCATTATTGAGTGCCACCGTGGTCAACTCAGTCTAATTTCTAAGCCATGTAGGAAATTTGGGACCCAGTTGGCATGATCTAATGTACAAGGATCTTAATTTGAAAGGAGGTATCCAACCAGAAGTTATGTTGAGAACCAAGGAAATGTTTGGGGAATTGTTTTCAATCTGTTGACGCCAAAAAGTGGTTCTCTGACTTAGAGGGTCAACTTAGTAATTTTATACCTTCGGTATTCT